TTTTTCGTTGATAGATCTAAGAGTTGATAGATTATTGATCTACTTACAAGTTGTTTACCTTGTTTACCATAATGAATTAATTAATACATCTCCTTTCACTTACCGTTAATTACCTATCTATTTTACTTCCGTTGAAATGATCATTTCAATGATTTCGTTTGCTGTAATCTTTCAAATGGTAATTTTTCCAACTTTCAATTACTTTTCTCACATACAATTTCGCACTATACCTTTATTTAATTTTTATTTCTTTTTCTTCAGTAACAGTCTCAAAAATTTAACATTCAATCTTGCAAAATTTCTCTATTCCTACAAAAAACACATCCATTTTAAATTCTATTCATTTCTTAACTTATCTACCGCGATTTCTCGATTTATTGGAGAACAAAAAAGAAATCGATATTCATAAGATCGCAGACTATATTATCAATCTGTTAAAGAACAAATATTTGGATTGGTTATGAAAAGACGGCGTCTTATTTATGCAACAAATTATTTGTTTATATATTTGTATAGTGAAAGGTGAGAAATGAACGTGTAATTAAAAACAAAAATTCTAGTGAATTTTTTGATATAATTTTAGTCATTAATTTTAATTAATTATATATTAATTCTCGGAACTAATCTATTACGATTTTTTTTATTGGTAAGCAATTGCATTTCTTCGTTTGCTTATAGGATCGTTCTAAAATATTCAACAGAATTGTATTTAACAAATATATTAAAATTCAATATAAATAGAATTAGATGTTCATTTTCTGCATTTTCACGATACGATAATATTAATCTTCAAGTTTACTTTTTATAATTTACAAATTTGAAAATAAGTTTCGTCTAAAATTTAGAGATAAAATTTTTTTTTTAATCCTATAACTTTGTTTTAAAGTTAGTTCATTATTTTGCAAATTATCTTTTTATAGATTTACAAAATCATATAGTCAGATAGCTTGACGGATCCAATTTTTCGTATCTATCTTATACTTTACTAATAATATTGACTAATATTATAAGGTTCTAAGAAACTGAAGTAATATTATTCATTGATTTCAGACTAAAAATTATAGGTTACCGTATTTTCGGGTTTAAAGGTATGCGAATGTATGCATAGGTGTATGTGTGTGTATGTATGTGTGTGTGTATGTGTGTGCATGTGAAAGTGTCTGTAAGTGGCCTTTTCAAATTGTTTAACTACAGATTTTAATGATTCATTCGAGAATGACGAGAAAGTTTTCTTTTTTTGTAATCTTAAAATGAGGACATAATTTTCTTCATTCCTCATCACATCACTGTCACCACTGTCACCAATCATCTATCTCAATTAGTAATACCGGAGAAGGGCGGCTATATGCTTTTCAACACCTGTACATGTCAATCTCTGTATACTCTCTGTATGTGTCTGTCCGTACCATTCATTTCTTCTTACTAGCTTTATTAGCTGTACAAATAGGAAAAGTTAAGTGTAGGCGCAGTAGGACGCTTACAGACGGCCTCTATCACACAAAGCTTCCATATCTGAGATCGGTTTGTCAACCAATAATTCTCTCATCTCAGACTATCTGTAATGTTAGTTTATTAAAATATTTCATTTCATCTTTATCTTTTGTTTCAATTTTTCATCCTAATTTCTTTTAATTTAAAAATTAAAATTTTACACATTTTAAATTTTATTTCAATTTTCATAATCGTACAACCCTTATTGTTTTAGTTTCTTCTTTGAATAAAATTAAATGAAGGAATAATTTGATATGTTTTAAATTTAAGATATTTCTCATTTCTTCTTCATCTATTCCGATTCGATCCATTTCATTCATTTTAAAATTTGAAGTAATAAGCACGTGTTTTCTGGTCAGTCATAATGTTTTCCATCAATAAAGTATTCATAAAAAGGGTAAATATTTGATAGTGGTTTCAATTTGCCATGTTCTATTTACCAATTCAGCATCAGAGAAACTAATGAAATGATAATATTGACATTTCACGTCTATCCGTGTTTACTTTTAACGTATTAACCGTATATCATATCATTTTAAGTAACTAAATATTGATTGATTCTTATCAGACTTCAAATTGCTTGTGAAAAAAAATCATTGTACGAAATTAGCATTGCTTTAATTTTATATCTATTCATAAAGAATTTATGTGAATTATTTAAGTTTAACAATTTCTTCCTACTAAAGTTATCTTATCACATTTTTTTAATTACAATGAATTCAAATCATTTGACATTGAAAATTCCAAATTATGTTTATTCATACTATAAGCATAATTTTTAGAAGCAATTAGCGCTTATCAATTTACAACAGTTACGATAGATATATTAGACAGCCGAAAAAGATTATTGAGTGTAAAAAATTGAAGAAAAAAGCTACTTTATCTCTTATTACAGTCTAATAGAAAAAGAAGGAAAAGAAATCACAGTGAAATAATTATTTCAACAATGTTGAAAATGACACAGATACGGTATAAAAATGATGTCTTTTTTTTCTCAATATAATTCTTCCGTCAAGCTACCTTTCTCATCTTACCTTTTATTTTCTTTCTCTTCCTCCCTCTCTCTTTCTCCCTCTTTTCTTTTCTTTCTTTTATTAAGGCTGACGATAATAGTAATGGAGGAAAAAGTAGTACTTACAATACAAATGCATCATAAAGTTATATGCCCATTATTGAAAAGATGGAAAAAGGTATTTATAACATTGGATTCTGTTATCGGAACGATACGACAAAACTTTTGTAGCAGACTTTTTGATTTTTGGTTTTCTCTTTTACCATAATAAAATTTTTGTCATGGTCATTTATTTGATTATTAATGGTTGATGATGGTTGGAGTTAGAAGGAGTTGAAATGATTTTAATATTTTAACGAAATTTCTTTTCTGCTTCGCTTTCTTTTGCTTCTTTTCATTTGATAGCATATTTTCTGATATAAAATTTAGAGATATTTTTGTAGAATTTAAAACGGTGAAAAAGTGGTAAAACTGGAGTCGGCAAACATATTTGGTCTTTCTACGGCTAGTACGTCATCGGTTAGCGGTACAGGAGATACTGCAACTAATATGAATGTAATGCTTAATGCTACCGGTCTTGCATCTGCTTCAGCAGTTTCTGCGTCAACATTCGATTCAGCAGCACTTTATCAAGCACAAGCATCTACCTTAACACAGGTTTTTAATCATTTCATTTTTAGATCTATAAAATTGTAACTATATTCTCAAATAAGTAAATGTATGTAAATGAAATAAATTTGAGTGTCAAAAAATTAGAGTGAAAAATTTTAAAGTTTCTTAAAAACGATTTATGTAATTTCAAGAACTTATGATTGTTTTCGTAAAAGAATTGATCATTGATGCATATTTCGAATTCTAAGGTTTACTACTTCCAATCTATTTTCCCAATCTACATTGCATTTGTCTAGGATGAACTTATGAACTTTAAGATAAACTCATCGAGAATGACTTTCACAAATATCATCTCTCGGTACTACGCATACCTTTTTGTTTGACTTAATTGTTTGATTAAGCAAATCCGCTAACTCCGTCAACCCATTCTCATTTATATTTATTTACATATAGTAAATATATAGCATTGATGCATAAGGAATGAAATAGAAAAGGCAAGTGAGGATTTCCTAATTCTAGTACTTTTCCAGATTAACTGGCAAATAATCAAGAGTTTAGAAAACTGTATCAGGCTATGATATCATTGCAAATATATTAATATCAACTAAATAATCATAACATTTACATTCATTTTTTTTTCCTGCCTCTTAATGTGGTAGCAAACATCATCCTTTTTGTATATGCTTCTTTCCATTACGCATCAAAAATTTGCCTATTATAAATTTTGGGAATACCTATCAAATTGTTTGCTTTTGCAAATTATGCATTTTGAAGTACGTTTGAAAGAAGGTCAATAGTACTCATATCATTTAATGAATATGTAAGCTTTAATTTATTAATTATTACGCTCTGATTTGTTTCCAAATGATTTTTTTCATCTTTTCAACTTTTATTAAACTTATAATATTTCTATTCTGTTAATGAAATAATTCAATGATATTTTCTTCCTTTAAATTTTTGCAAATTTTAATTTATCATTCAAATTATTTAATTAAAAATATATTATAAGTTTATTAAATTTAAATCACTCTTGGATATCTTTCAAAGCCGGATAGATTTCCTCCATAAAAGATCTTACCTTTGACTACTCAAAAAAAAGCCGATTGTGACCATCATTTATAAGGGTGGACATTCAATGAACAATTTGGCAATACTTTAGACATAATTGGTTTGATGGTGGAACTCGAGAAAGGATGAAATTCAATATCGACGCAGCAATTGAGATTGCTGCTCGATGATACGGCTCAGTTACCGTAATCCTCTCGTGCCAGGCAATCTTTGGAGAAGTGGTGGGTTGGATGTTGTTGGGGTGGAGCATTTGTTGAAAGACCAATACAAATCATCACTTCCTCCTTCTTCAAAATACTCCTTCACTACTCATTCAATGATGATAATAATAATAATAATCTACACTTTCTTATTCCTATAACCATAATCACAATCATAATCATCATTTTTATCATAATTTAAAAATTAAAACTCAATCTTTTAATTAATTCTTAATAACACGAAAATTTTTGATAAAATTATGAACTCCAATTATCAAAAATTTTAAATGAGAATATCGAATTTCAAATTTTGTATCCTAATCTATTTTTATAATCATGATTGAGTGCTGTGATTATGATTTTAGCAGTTATTTCAATTATGATTTCAGCTCTCTTATTGTATTACAACCATTTTATATAATTATATCGATGGATTTGGTCAAATATATAGAACAAACTTGGTTTTTCATCTTTTTATTTGATCATAAAGTAACCCGCGGAATGTTTGATGTTTAATGCCATAAATTCACTAAGGAATAAGAGAGAAAAGGATAAGATCTCAGGAATTCCCTTATCAATCATTTCCTTATCAGTAGTTAAGCAAATAGTTTCAGGGTATGACAGCGCAAGACTATGCTTCAGTAATGCCAACTTATTCAACCGCTCTATCCGCTTACAATCAATACCCTTATCCATCCAGTAACAATTTAGCCAATGGAACATTACCAACTTACTATACCTCAAATTACATGAATCCTGTTAATCAAAGTGAGTGTTAATTCTTTTCCATATGTTATCATCATTGATAATTTGACAGAATGTAAATTGTTGCAGCTTTTGAAGTATTCTTGATGTTTTAATTATTGAAGGGAAAAGAAATGGTTCGAAATGGAGGGTTTCGGATTTTTTTGTTTTAACTTTCAAAAAAAACTTTACCTGTAAAACTCCAAACTTTTGTCTTTCATTATGTTTGAAAGCTCTGATTTGCATATTCCAATTGTACGCGAAAGAAATGGCTTCATTAAGAAATTAATCAATTTAAGGCTACAACAGTTTTGGAGTAGCAAGCGGAATATCGCCTCTAGCTTCAACTACCAATCGAACATCCTCTACTATTGTTAATAATGCATCCACTTCTGCTGCAACTGCCGGAAGTTCCACTTCGGCGATTGCTGATTCATCATCATCACTCACGCAAATATCCCAAAATTGTCGTTCTTCTCGGGTCACCTTCAATGAACAAACACAACAGGAACTTGTAAGTGTATCGTAAAATTTGAATATCAAGTATTCTAAAGTTTGAGGCACAAACATTGCTGCAAAATTAGTTGGTATAAGCAAGTGCTTATTCATAATCTCTCTTTTAAGGATCAAATCATAAAGCACTTATAACAATTATTTCATTCGAATTATTTGATATTCATGTCTGCAGGCTCAGATGCGTACTTATAATGGTAAAATAGGCAATGCAAAGCCGCCATTTTCATATATCTCACTGATAACGATGGCAATTCAACGATCCGAATCTCGTATGCTAACACTTTCAGAAATCTACCAATTCATAATGGATAATTACGCCTACTACCGACAGAACCAGCAAAGGTCAGCCGGGTCAGTGCTTATCAAAAATTGCTGCCTACTAAACAGACTAGCCATCTGTTGCTATCTGTATCATTATTATGGTATTCTAAACAATGCCGTATATTTTGATAATCTACAAATTTTCTATCCGTTCGCTTTTCATAGATATCCTCTTATTATGATATATTTTTGGACCATTAATATATTCTCCAGCAATATCTTGAAGAAAATATGATACATGTAGTTTTATTCAGATGGCAAAATTCGATCAGGCATTCACTTAGCTTCAACGATTGTTTCGTCAAAGTACCCAGGTAAACATTAAAATTGCTAAATTCATTATCATAATTGTGCTTACTGACAACTTTTTCGGCAAAAATAATCTCTGGGATGATAAATTAATTGCAAATTTTGGCATAGGACACCGGATAAACCAGGAAAAGGTAGTTTCTGGACTCTTCATGAAGACTGTGGTAATATGTTTGAAAATGGATGTTATCTGAGGAGGCAAAAGCGATTTAAAATCAATGATGGTAAACCAAAAAATAAGAAAATTAAGGTCAGTATTAATTTATACTTATGTGTTTTTATCATTTTAAAACTATATCGTAGTGATCAGTAAAATCCATTTTAGTTATTTTAGTAAATTTGCAACGAATATAGAAATATTCTTCTATATTTATAGAATGGACATGGCGGAAGAACGGGTCAAATAAAGGAAGAGCACGATGAAGATGTTGCAGATAATAAAGGGGTCAGTAATGCAAGTGAAATGAAAGTTTCAAGTAAAACGCAACAGCCCGATACGGCATGCTCACCACCAAGCGAAGTAAAATCTTTTCTTCATTCTCAATTCTGCTATTCTTCAATTTTCTATTTCTTCATAAATTTCACCTTATAAGTTACTTCGATTTGCTGGATCATTTTTGTTATTCTACATTAAAATGTATTCAAAAAATTCAAAATTTATTTTTGAATAACGAAATGAAATAGAAATTAATGAAGTTTGATGTAATATCTCATTAACAAAGGCCTGTTTTCGCTTGAACTTCATTTTAAGCAATCTAAAAATTCCACTGGTTTTTAATTTCTACTGGTGTTATCATCATTAAATTCCACTGATTTTTAAAGTTTAGGCTGAAACAAGTACCAATACCGATCGTATTATTGCCAGTGGCACAACTCCACAGCTAATCAGGACCCAGCAGCAGGTAATGCAACCTGTGCAGTTACCTGCTACCACTTCATTGATAGCACCTACCGTAAGCAGTCAACCGACAAGTGTCATTTCAGCTGTGGGAACCGTACCGGTGAGTTTGAACTTTAAATTTTTAATTTTAATTTGTTTAATTTTTAAAATGAAGCAATTTGCAGCAAATACAAATAGCAGAAGTTTTTGAACAGTCTTTTAGCTTAGAGAGAAAATTAATCTGTAGAACCGCTGTTCACAATTTGATCCTAAGAGTTGAACAGCTTCAAAATCAACTGATGAAAACTCAACTATTTTGGTGATACCTATGATGATTATGCTTATCATTAAATTATATTATTATCTAATCATCGTATTTCTTAACCATCATATCATAATCATTAATAATAATAATTATTGTTACAATCGTTTTTATTATTGCTATATTACTACTTATATTATTATAATTACAACAATTTTTAATCATAATAATATTTATTAATTACTACAGATCAAAAATTTTACATCTATCTACAACAATATTAAATTTTACATATTAATATCCAGAAATCAATAGATGAATCTTTTTTAGATGAACCCTTATGCCAGTCAATATCCATCCTTTGGATTGTACTCGAATGGTGCGATGACCGCTGTGCCAGATTTATCACAGACGACATTACCTACTTTAACACCAAGTGCTTTCCGTATTGGAAGTCTTATCGATAATTATAGTATGTACAATAACATGTATGCTACACAACCGAGTAATACACTTAACGATTACCCTTATCAGCAAACATTGTATAGGTAGGTAACATTAATGTATTTTTTTGAATTTATCAATCTTTCATCTTCTTTGCTATGATATCAATCTGAGTATAATTAATCAACTTTGAAGACAGCGAAAGCTGCAAAAGTTCGCAGCAGTATATGAAGTTCAATTTTCGAAACTTTGTAGCTAATTACGATTTATCTGCATTTTATATCTAATGATATCAATAACTCTTCTTAACATAAACTGATAATCATGTGAATTTTATATTTGTTTATCGTTAGGCTAATAAATTCTTTACAGCTAACAACCGAACTAATAGAAAAAATTTTTTTATAGTTTTTAATAAATTATTAGAACTTTTCTAGAGGCTATATATTCTAAAGTTCAAAGTTCATAGAGAACAATATTGGCTGGTCACTTGGTATAGATTATTACTTTATTTGCATAAATTAATTATTTTTCAGTTCGAATAATCCAAATTCATTGCCAAATTTGTAAAAAGAGCTTAAAAGAAACAAAAATTAAAGGATATGGAAGATGGAAGGAAGGTTAGTCGGTTAATTTGCAACTAATTAGTAGTGCCTCATCTCAACAACTGGTCACTTCTGTGAATGTACGATTTCATATTTGTAAACATAATTTGTTCTATGCTTGTTATAGGAAATATTTCATTCTTTGTCTTTTCTTTTTCAATGAAATGATTCGAATATTTGCGATAAATTTCAATCTAGTTAATTAATTTTAATTGATTCATTAATTTTCACTTTCTTTTTTGACTGTCACTTCAAAGTTCAAATAATTTGACAGTAATTTTCTTTTTGTGAATTTTACCTAAAATGCTATTTAAGTTGCCTTAATCATTTAATTAATTTAATCAATATCATCTTTGAATAACTTTTAATCTATCATTTATATAAATTTTTTGATCGGATATAGGAAAATTAGATGAAATAAGAAAATGTATGATTTCGATGATCGCCCTTATGATTTATTTAAATTTCTCGTAGAAAAGTTATCGTTAGAAATTCATGAAAATTTGAACTTATGAAGTTGAAAGAAAAATTAAAGAAATTTTTTAACAATAAAATATCTAACTGTGATATATTTGAATAAATAATGAAACAGAATTGTTTTTGCATGTAATATTACTTTCATTATTTTATTGATTTAATATTTATTCGAATTTTTTGTTTTTCCTTTTTTGGTGACAAATTTTTTCAAAAATTAAATTATTTTCGGATAGTCATTCCTATAATTTTAATTTTTCGATTAAAATTTTAATTCTCAAAAGTAAAATGAAATTAAGAAAAGAGAAATGAGATTGATCATTATTATAATCAACATTGTTATCAGGAATGTTTAGTTGTTGACATAGTAGAATATTTTGTGCAACCTAATTAATTATACCATTGAAATAGCCTAAAATTAGCCTTCCAAAGTTGATTAATAATGCATTATCAAATCATATCACTTAATCAACAATTCATTCATTGAATTTAATGATTATTAAATTTTTCCTTTTCAACTTAGGCAAATAAATTAAACATCCTGTCATCAATTTTCATTCTACCATTCAGAATTCAAGCTACACCAATGTTACTACGGTTTTATAATTTTTCATTCTTTTCTTCGCTATACATTATTTGTTGGCATTACTATCGGCGATCTGTTTCCTTTATGGCAGTTAAATATTTTTGAAGCATTGTACGATAGTGCATCACAATATTATAATTTAATTTGTAAATTTGAAAATGAATATTAAAAATTCTAATCAAACTTGATTTTATTTATACGATTGATCGATTTATTAAAAACAAACATAAAATTGATACATGTCTAAGCGATAATTTTTACTTGAATGGTGCTATGAATGTTGAATAACGACTGTTGTTTGTTGTAGTTAAATTAATAATAACAGTGTTAAATAATAATTTCGATTATTCGTGTTTTTGATATTAGTTGTAACCATTCTGAATAAATAAAAATTTAAGCAGTGTTTGCTGAATATCAGAATTATTATTAAAATCATTATTTTCATTAATCAATCAATCAAAATCATTAATCTTTAGTTTCTTCTAATTACTTTAACTTTCTTCAGAAAGTTACAGATTAAAATTTTGCAATTTGCTATTTGCCGAAAAATATATTGATGATTGCAAAATTGTCCATTAGTATTTCGTTCAAACAAAATATGAGACTAAATGAATTCCAGCTAATTAACTAACAGAAATTCGAAAAGGAATGATCTCAGTAGGTAGGAGTTTCATTTCATGACCTCATTATTATGACCTTTTCTGCACGAATTTATGGCCCTTTAAGTGCTAAGAAATTTACATTCCATTATAACTGTTGGAGGAAGTGTAATGGAACACTACATTGTTTTTGGGAAGTAATGTAATAATAACAATAAGTACTTGTGCACCAAATTGCGCTACAGGCATTTCTCCACTTAATGGATACATGTTGTGGTTGGAGTATGAAAACATACAACAAATGGATGGTCATATCAATAGATCCAATAGATCGAAACTATTATTATCAGGTATGAGGAAGGTAGAGGACAATGAAAAGGAAGGGAAAGGTGAAGTTCAAGTTAGCATTTCCTTCCTTCTAACTTCCGCACAATCTTACAATCTTTCCAGTTGTGTAATACTTCCCTAACAATAGTCATTTGTAAAACGATGAATGAATGGGTAAACAAATGAAAATAAAAAGATCCAAGATGAAACTGAAAGAATTCTAAAGGGATCATATCAGCATATATCATGAAATCATCTCCACCTAGATTCATCACTTACTACGCAATCTGAATTGTAGATGAAGATCAAGTACTTATCATTCTGGTTGATCACGTGTTGCAAGCTACCCCAACATGCATGCCACTACGAATGGAAGTTTCAGTGCAGTTTAGTTTGTTTTTTGGCCAATGAATTTGCCATTTATTTATGTATTACCGAAGAAATTCTGGAAGACATAATGTTGAAGATCCAATAATATAACGGCATATCTGCAATATAATGACTAGAGAAACCAGGTTTCGCATTTTAAGGAACTTTCCCTTCAATCTTAATTGATTCACCATGGACACGACAATAACAGAATGCAAAAGCAATTAATTTCATATTTTATTACGAAAAATTTGAAAAATGCAGAGGAAGAAAATTTTTACAGATGAATAGAAACATCAAATGAGCAAAATACGCGTATTTTGGGTGTAATGGTTAAATAGTTGAGGGGTAAGGGAGTCGAAACTTGCATAAGTTGCTGTTTACAGTAGAATTTTTATTTCGTGTCGAAATTCATTTAAAAAAATATCCATGAGATTTCTTAAACTTTGTCAAGACAAGATATCAATTACATCCCATGGGAAAAATATCTACAAGGATCGGTAAAAATAAGAAAGAAAATAGACAAATTCAAAGTGTGACATTATAGCACGCAATTTGAAAATTAACATATAGAACAAAAGAATGGAAAAATGGAATTCAATTTCCGATTTTAGGAACAGAGAAGATAAGAAGTTGCTGATTTTACCTATAGGGTGCAAAGCTAGCTTCTCTGGCGTATTGATTTTGACCAATCTTATAAAATTCAATCGAATAAGATGAATCAGGTACGAATTTCAAGTTTGTTTTAAAATAGTTGAGTTAGAAACCTTTAGAAATATTTGAATTGAAGCTCACAAAGTAAATAGCAAATAGAATTAAATTAAAGACGGAAAAGCAAATAGAATTAAATTGAAGACGGATCCTGTTTTAATTCAAAAAAAAATGATGTAGATGAAGAAAAGAATCTCATCACGGAGTAGTATTACAACATAAATCATTATAGCAACAAAGAAATCACGCCATTATTCCCGACATATTTTATAAGAAAAAACGATGCATCACAACATATCCGTACGATGTAAATTAGCATTCAGTGTTTGTGACATAATATGTATTCAACCGCTGAAATAAATACTTTAAGTACAACATCAAGAAATACGATGGATAGAAATTTAATAAATTTCACTATCAATTCACATATATTGTTCAAGCCATATGTAGTATATTAAATCGCAGCATAATACGGTATTTTACTTCTTTCTGATTTCGGAGACAGCTTCAATGCCACTATCAACAACAATATATGCTGTAAGCAATCTATATGAGCTTAATAATTCGGAATACAATAAATACTAAATACTTGATCGATTGATATCAGGAACACAAGTAGAATAAGTGGAACAAAAATGTTATGCTTAAGCAACGAGAAATAAAAGTAAAAGCTCATAATGACGAAAAATAATAAGTCATAAATGAAATGAAACCATGAAACATTTTGAAGCAAAGCGATCATTCGATCGTCCTTGATAGGGAGAGAAATTATGGGAAGAATCACGATCAGAACCTGCTTATATATGGGCTAGACTAGGACAAGAGGAGGGGGACAAAGAGAGAAGAATATACCAACTGAGGACAAATATTAGTTTTATTCATGTTTAACGAACAAATATTAAATGTAGAATTTATTTAGGGTTTTACCTCCCATCTGATAAAGAAATAAATAAATATTTACTGTTTTACACCGTCAAGATAAAGTAAGCAGTTTGCTTTTTATTATATTTATAGTTCCTTACATGAAATTATTTCAACACAACAACATGTTTACAAAAATATTTCATTCTCAAATTTCTCTATCTATCTCTTCTTATTTTTTGTACAAATAAATCAAGCATTAAAGAACCAAAATCTTTAACAGAGGAAAAAAAGTTTCAAGCAAAAAGCAATCATAATATAATATAATTAAAAATTGTTTTCATCGTTTCACATCAGTTTTCCTATTTTTTAAGACCTTGTTTTTCTTACATTCTTCTCCAATCTTTTGTCATTTTGTGAATTTCATGTAAATATGCAACAATCAGTTGCTGAAAATTCACTGAACTAATGCTCGGGAAGAAAAATCAATACATACTTATCTGAATAACATCGGAAATGTTCTCATATCAGTTCTTAACGAGTTAACAAAAGCATTTCTATTTTAAAATTAAATTT